TTGTAATATTTTAATCACATAAGGATTAGAAAATTGCAAAATTAGAAAAGACTGCAACTTTCAAGGTGCATTCTTTAAAAATTTGGTAAATAACAAAAATTGTTTAAATAATAATTCAATTTTTATTCTTTATCTGTAATTATATAGATTTCAGTAAATTGCAAAATAAGGAAAAAATTGCAACTTTCAAGGTGCATTCTGTAAAATGTTGGTAAATAACAACAATAATTTGTTTAAAAATTGGTTAAATAATAATTCAATTTTTATACTTTATTTGAAATTATATAGATTTTAGTAAATTGCAAAATTAGGAAAAAATTGCAACTTTCAAGGTGCATCCTGTAAAATGTTGGTAAATTACAACAATAATTTGTTTAAAAATTGGTTAAATAATAATTCAATTTTTATTCTTTATTTGAAATTATATAGATTTTAGTAAATTGCAAAATTAGGAATAAATTGCAACTTTCAAGGTGCATTCTGTAAAAAGTTGGTAAATAACAACAATAATTTGTTTAAAAATTGGTTGAATAATAATTCAATTTTTATTCTTTATTTGAAATTATATAGATTTTAGTAAATTGTACAATTAGGAAACAATTGCAACTTTCAAGGTGAATTCTGTAATAAGTTGGTAAATAACAACAATAATTTGTTTAAAAATTGTTTGAATAATAATTCAATATTTATTCATTATTTGAAATTATATAGATTTTAGTAAATTGCACAATTAGGAAACAATTGCAACTTTCAAGGTGAATTCTGTAATAAGTTGGTAAATAACAACAATAATTTGTTTAAAAATTGTTTAAATAATAATTCAATATTTATTCATTATTTGAAATTATATAGATTTTAGTAAATTGCAAAATTAGGAATAAATTGCAACTTTCAAGGTGCATTCTGTAAAAAGTTGGTAAATAACAACAATAATTTGTTTAAAAATTGTTTAAATAATAATTCAATTTTTATTCCTTATTTGAAATTATATAGATTTTAGTAAATTGCAAAATTAGGAATAAATTGCAACTTTCAAGGTGCATTCTGTAAAAAGTTGGTAAATAACAACAATAATTTGTTTAAAAATTTTTTAAATAATAATTCAATTTTTATTCTTTATTTGAAATTATATAGATTTTAGTAAATTGCAAAATTAGGAAAAAATTGCAACTTTCAAGGCGCATTCTCTAAAAAGTTGGTAAATAACAATAATAATTTGTTTAAAAATTGTTTAAATAATAATTCAATTTTTATTTAAAATTAAAAACGGACTTTAGATTCGTAATCAGCGACCCAAAAAACCCCCATATACCGAATTGCAAAAAATTAAACATTTTTTGGAAAATTAGTCCGCCATATTGGATCCGCCATTTTGAATTTTCAAAAACAGACTTCAGATTCGTAATCAGCGACCAAAAAGACCTTCGTATACCAAATTGCAGGAAAATCTATTGTTGTGAAAAATGTATGCATTTGGTAACTACTGTTCGGGTAAAAACTCATTCTCAGGAGGGTTAAACATAAATTAAGAACTAATAACTTTTAATATTGATATTATTAATTTTCATGTAGAAACAATTATTAATTTAAAAATATAATTTCAAATATAAGTAAAATTAATTTATCTTTGGCGCATTTAGATGCATGTCACATAATTAAACAATTTGTTTAAAAAACAATACATTTTTAAATAAGGAAATAATAACTTTGTAATAAAAGTTCGCTAATAAGATTCATCCTTCACAAGGATGAATCCTGTTTTTTTTTAGATAAAGTAGAGAATGTGTGCTTAGACTTTAATGACTTGTCTCTTCTTTCAATTGCTCTACCTACAAATTTATTTTTTTTCTCTTTTTCTTTAATATCTCTGTTTAAAAACCGATAATTTCCTCTTAGAATACTGTTTAGGTAAGCTATAGTACATCTGATATACTGAACAATGCTTATTGTAAGAAAATTTTGTATAACAATTTCTCTATGAAATTTGCAAGTAAATAAGTCTAACTGCAATTCTTTTTTTAAAAAATCCAAAGCTACTGCACAAATATCGTTCTCCGCATAAATGGAAACCATTATCCTTTGAAGAAGGCTTGACATATCTACATGAATGTTATAAATTGTAGAATGTGTTTTAAAATTGGACTGAAATAGTATCATACACTCGGAATAAATTGATAAGCAAGGTGTTTTCTCCTTTAATTGTTTAAATACAGTGGTTGGTAAATTTGCAATTTTTGATTTTTCTGGTAGAGGATAAGAAGTAGATTCAATTTTTTTTCTTTGATGACAAGATTTTTTTTACTACATTTTCTGTATCCTTATTATCAACAAAAGCAAAATACTTTTCCCACGTAAAGAGAAACTTACCATCGTCTGCTTCACAATTTGTTCTGACTGCATGATACCGAGTCAAATTATTTATTACTAACGATTTATAGTTGCCTATAAATTGGTAGCAAGTTGGTTTTCTATTTTGCTCACCTTGAGCCCTTATCAAGCCGAAGAAATTTTCTAAAGGATCTTGATTAAAATGTCTGGTGCACACATCTTTAAATCCTATTTCTTTTAATTTTTTCCATATTAATTAGAGCTGTGCAAAATTCGAACCGAACCGAGTTTAGTTCGGTTTTGGGGCGCTGAAATGTCGAATGTCGAATATTCGACATCCGAACTGGGCTAGTTCGAATGTCGGTTTTTCGACATTCGAACTAGGCTAACTCGAATGTCGAATTTTCGACATTCGAACTAGGCGAAAAAATTTGAACAGTTCGGTTCGAATTATTTTGCACAGCTCTAATATTAATGAAAAACCTCTTAGACTGCTAATTAAATTTGCCAAACTTGAAGGTTGTCTGGTTACTGGTTTTTTGGTAACCATGTCGACAAATCGCATTCTGAGAAGCTTTCCACATGCATTTTGAAAAAAATTTAAATGGTAGCTACTACCAGACATTGGAATCCTAAAACTACTACTAGAATTTCTCATTTCATAGTCTCCATTTGTAGAATCTGATAATCTATTTAAAAAATTAAATATTTGTGCAGTATTTTGTGTTTCGATAGGAATTTTTCTTTCGCCTAAGGTAGTCTTCCAAGCTGCTCCTCCAGCTAAAGCCTGTATCGTGGAAGATACTGTTTCACTAAACACTTGATTGCAGTGTTTAACTGACATTTTACTTATCAATTCTGGATAAACATGCTGATCTGTTAACCTTTTCATAGACCGGATCCTATTATTGCCGTATAAAACTATTTCGTACGCAGTAATTAAATGCTGCCATGAAGCGAATGTTCTAAGATTCTCTTCCTTTCCATTCTGGAAATCGAATTCCAGATCCTTATTCAGCAGATTATTGCGTAAACATTTTAGTAAATGTGGCGGATCAAAAAGAGGCACAACTTCAGCTCCATTGACAATGAATGTACCATCTAAAAAAAATTTAATAAAAATATTATAAATAAATTAAATTAGAATTATAAAAAATTTTTAAAATAATTGAAATCCTGCGATAAATTTTATTTCTTATGAAAATAAATTGAATAGTTACAAAAAATTTTACTACAACTTTAAAAAAGAATTGAATTCCTGAGAAGAATTTTATTATTCATGAAAATAATTGAATTATTGAAAAAAAATTTATTATATATCGTTTTAAAGAATTTGATTATAATTTTGAAGAATAGTTTTTTATTTCTAGCATTAGCGAATTAAAATTAGTGGAACTTATAAAAAAACAGAAATAGTATTTAAAAAAAAATTCTGACATAGAATCACTTACTCTTCAGGACATACTCTGATCCATGTATTTTTTTAGTGTCTTCTATCAGTGTTTTGATAGCACTAACATTTGTCGCAGCACCATCGCAAACTGATGCAATCACTTTTAATCCAGCTTCTGTAACGACTTTAATGGCTTCTTTAATGCATCTTTGAAGCTGCGTGGAAACAGTTGTCCCAGTACAAAAATTAAATGATATGGGTAAATTGTCTCCAGTCTCCATGCCCCTCAGCATAAAGACTAATGCATGGTCCGCATATTGGTCCCTTCTTTTGTAGCCCCAATCTTCGAAACCAATTATTTTGTCCGCCTGAGGATCATACTGCAATCCCAAAGATAACATTATCTCATCCCACATTATAATCATTGTCCTTTGTTTATCATTTTTAAACATTGACGACATTTCTTCCAATCGTTGTTTAGTGGTTTGCGAAATTCCAGCAGTCATTGGAATATTTTTGACAATTAATTTTAAGGTGCTCGCAGATGGAAGGTTGACAAGCATTCTTCTCAAATATCTGTAGGCGTTTGGCGAAGTCTTATAAATTGAAAGAGATAGAATTTTTTCTTCAGTAGTATAACGCTTGCCTTCACTTTTTTTTGAATTATTTTTCAAAATCATTTACTATTTTTTTTCTACATCTGTAAAGTTAATGTTAGTTCAAGGGTAAGATAAAAAAATTAAAAATAAAGGCCGGATTTGGGACATTTTTTTAAAGATAATTAATTTCAATTAAAAAAAAAATAAAAAACCATAATAAGTAGCAAGAAAGTTGAAAAAAATAATTAAAAAAAGCTAAAAACCATTTAGAGGTGTGGATTATAAAAATTTAATATATTCTTAAATACGTATACGTCTATACTTTATTTTCATTGGTACATATAGAGTTTAAGTTTAAATCTGGCGCCTGCATCTTTGCTCGCTTGACTCCAGTATTATGTTTGTTTCCGGTGTCTTGTCGATGTCCGTTTTTCTTTAGCGCACTTCCTCCCCGTTTTATAACGAAAAGCGTCTTAGCGACGAACGAGTGTGTTCTTACGAATATTAAATAAACCTTAATTATCTACTTTAAATAAAAGCCGTGTTCTTATTTAATGCTCCCACAATAACTAAAAGTCAATAGGTTATGGTTCCCAGTACCAATCCACCGCGTAAAACCGCGTTTTAATTTTGTGGGAGTCGTGAAAACGTTGAACGAAAAAAAAATATAGAGTTCAAAAATGGCAACGTGAGTGCCTTGTGCTACGAACAAAGAAACACGTTAGTTTGTGAAAGTGATAAACTTGAATTTTAGTGAAGGTGAATATTGTTTCCCGTTTTATTTTCTTTCTGTGGAAAAGTTGGATACTGCGATAAGGATTTTGGATTTGTCTAAGTTTCAACATTCAAGAACGACGCTGAGTGGCACGAGTGTACTCGCCAAAATAGTGGAACGAATGCGGAATGCCTTGCTTGTGGAAATGACGAACGGTTTGTTAATAACAGCCAAAATAAATGGAGAATGCTTTGAGATTGGATTCTCAACTAGCGAATCAGCTGTTTTAAGTACGTAATTTAATGGCCATTTATTATTATTTTATTCTTTCTATTAACGAGTGTATAACGATGTTTCCTTACGATTTTTCTTCTAAATATAAACTAATATGTTTAAATCATATTAAATAACTAGCTAGTTGAATTTAAAAGAAATTAATTTCATACTTTGGCGTCGAAAAATTTCTATAGATAATTGATTTAGAAATGGTTTTCTCTTTTTCACGAGGAACAAGCTATAATAATGCATTTTCAGTATATTAAGACACACGAAACCGTTGTTAGAGTTGTTTATATCTGAAAAATTGTGTGCATTTAAGACGTATTTATACCCCTATACAATTGTCCACGTGGATATTGCAAATTAAAAAAATAAGTTTTTTTTACTCCTGTATGTTAAAAAATAAAAAAGATTATTTTTGAACATATTTCAAAGCAAGAATGTCAGTAAAGTAAGGGAAATGTCAGGAAAAAATTTTGTCAGGGAAATTAAGAAAATTGTGACTTTTTTCGACTCATTTAAAATAATTGCGACAAAATACCACAATTTTTAGTAAAAAAAAGTACAAGTTATTTTGATTTTTATAATGTGAAAAATAACTATAATTAGGGTGGCCGCTGGACCGGGAAACCGGGAAATGACAATGAATTTTGAACTTGACCGGGATTTTGGATTTTTTTTTAAAAACACACATTATTTTGTGAGAAAAAATAAAAATATTTATTTCAAGACTAAGGTATTAACTATATTTCATTAAAAAAGATTGAACGATCTTCTATAAAATCTATTTATATTTTGTCAGAGAATTTTATAAAAAGTACTATAAAAATATTCAATTTCTAGAATTTATAAGAAAATTATGAATTTGGCTGTCCAACGTAACAGATTTAGAAAAAGAAAATATTAAATTTAATTTTAAATTCTTTCTATTTCTAACAATAATTAAACAAAATATAATTTTAATTAAACTTGTCAAAAAAATTTCAATGAGAAAAAATTTCACATCCTATAGAATAGTTGAAAATAAATCAATTTAAAAATTTTTTTGCAATAATATTATAACAAAACAAATAAGAATTATTAAAAATTTGAACTAATTAGAACAAAAGTGATACGAAATTTATAAAAATTAATTTTAGAATAATAAATAATGTATATAAAAATAAATAAAATTTCTTTTTTTAGAAAATAAATTTTTTAAAAATCGTATTTTGCATTACTATCAATTAGTTTTTTTTGCAATTATTGATAAGCAAACTTTTCTATATTTTAGAATGTTAAATTAATAATTATTATAGATTGAATTTTAAAAAATTTCAAATTTAAGTTTTAGAAAAGTTGAATTTTAAAAGATTTTAATTAAAAATTCTGAATAAGTCAGTTTTTAAAAATATTTTTATTCACATTTTTTTCAAATTAGTTATGTTTTTAAATATGTACCTAATATTTAATTGAAAAATTTTTAAATTATTCAAAATTTCATGAAATTGTCTTGTAAACAAGTGGATTTTAGAAATATTTTAGTTATTTCTAGAATATAATTGAATTGAAATTTTGAAAATAATTGTTAATAAGTTACAGTAGCAATTCTTAAAAATTATTCAAATTTAAAGGATTTAAAATTTGAATTTTTTTTAAATTTGAATACCTAGTATATGGAAAAATAATGGATAATAATTAAATATTTATTTCAAAAAATCTATTTAAGTTCAAAATTATTTTTAGAGTAAACTAAAATATTTTTAGGTTTTAGGAAAAAGTCAAAGTTTTGTCTAAAAATCAGGAAATTCTTTCAATCTTTCATGGAATAATTTATTTTCAGAGTTATTATTTATGACCGGGAAAAATAATTTATGACCGGGAAATAACCGTGAATTTTTTTTTACAAAAAAATGGCCACCCTGTATAAACAAATCTTTTTGAATAGTTGAAATTTTGTAAAATTTAATTGAAAATAATTAATTTATTTTAAGTCTTTCATTACAATTTTTGTAGAATAAAAAATCTTTAAAGGTAAATTTAAAAATGAAAATTAATGAAAATTAGCTTCTAATTTTTTAAAATTCAATATTCTCAATTACATATTTTCAAAAATTCAAATATATACAAAAAAATAACATTTTAAAATTATTTTTAACATTTTAGAGGAAACAATCATGTTAAAAATTTTTAATTAAAATTTATCAATCAAATTCAAAAATAATTTTAAAATATAACAGAATTTTAGAAGAACTTTCGGAAAATTATTTAAATTAATTGATTCAAAGACGAAGGTTTAGTTGCCCAGTAAAAAAAAGTATTGGAAAAGAGCGAATAGTATTGGCGGTGAGTTTCTGCCAATATGTTTTCGCGTGAAAACCGTATTGGCAGAAACTCACCGACAATACTATTCGCTCTCTTCCAATACTTTTTTTTACTGGGTGGAAATTGTAGAAAATAATTGAATTCAGGAAGGGTTATAATTGTCATTTTAAAAAATAATTAAAATCATAAATGTTACTCATTTTCCGTAAACATTCATATTTTCCTGTAAAAAGAATTTTGTCAGGGAAATTAATTTTAATATCAGTAAATTGTCAGGGAAATTGATAAACTGAAACTTATGATCATTCTGATTAAGCTTAAGATATCTTTTTTGGAAATATCTTTGATTATATGTCCACGTCGACATTTGCTTTAACACCCCCCCTCCCCTTCGTGGACAAACGTGGACTTTTGATTCACCCCCCGCCCCCCCAAATGTGTCTACGTGGTTTATGGACGGCCCCATATTTTTGTTTAAAGGTCGAAATGCATTAAAAGATGAATGGGATATTTTAAAAGCAGAAATTGACAGTTTAGAGCAGAAGCAGAAACCAAGCAGCGGCGACGCCAGTAACCATTTCAAAATGTCAGATTCAGAGAACGATTTTAACGAGATAAATAAAGACAACGAAGATAGTGAAGATAACGAGGATACTGATCTGACAACGAATCATTTATAACAAGAAAACGAGTTGAGAGAAACTCCAAAACCCATAGACTACAGTCTAGTGAGTTCAGCCGAAGGGAGATTGAAAGACGACGTTAATGAAGGTGAACAAAAATTATTTTACACAATATTCTCTTCTGATCCTGTAAAAACGAAAACGATAAATTATAACGATGGTACGAAAGTTGTCGTCGACGACAAAAATAAAATAATGAATTTTCCTTTGGTAAGTGTGTCACCAATTGCAGGTGAAAGCGGTTCCGGACGAAGCAGGGATCAGAAGACAGTTTCAAACAACGAAATGAAGAAAACGGTTTCGAACGAGAATAAAAGGTCATTTGTTTCCAATAATATGAATCGAGTGTGGACTAACGAAACAACGAAGTACGAGCGTTTTAATATGCAAGACCTTTATGCCAAATACGACGAGAAATTTAATAAGCAGTTACACACTATGGAACAAATGATGACAGCCACGATGACCATGCAAACAACAATGCAAGAAAGTCTAAAATTGTGGTTTAAACAGCGCGAGATGGATGAGAATAAAGCTAAGAGAGCAAAAATTTCTTCAGATGTAATGCTTTCCTCTGATCAAAAATTACCGTTAACGACAGTTCATAAAACTTTAGGTATAGACCAGTTCCCTTCAAATAACGAAAATCAGATTTTATCTTAAAAAACGATTTCACTCGAAAAAACGATTTTATCTCAAAAAACGATTTCACCCGAAAAAACGATTATACCCGAAAAAGCGACTTTACCCGAACAAATTACGACTGTTAATTTATCTGCCTCTTCTTATCGAGAACAAAACGAACCACAATTTATCGCAAATCGTGTAAAAGAAGCGTTAAAAATTGAATTAATTGGAAAAGAGAATCACACGAAGCATGATTATAAATTAGAGCCCCGAGTTAAATATGATCATTTTCTTAAATTTCTAACCTCCGAACTCCGAACAATAGACTTGTTGTACGTTATTGATAAATCTATCCATGCTCCGGAAGGCATTAATGATAATTTAAAAGAGAAACACAGATTTAAACTCCGCGACATTTTAATTAATAGAATCGACAAAACCTATCATAATAGAATCCTCCAAATTAAAGATCCGATCGAAATGCTTGAAAAAATCAAAGAAATAAAACGATGTAAAGTCAATGTAACGAGCGTAAGTATCCGAAAACAATTATATGCTATCCAATATAACACAAACCGTGAAACCGCGAATAATTTCTTGGATAGATTCGAAGAAATTGTACACAATTACGAAACCATTTCAGGGTCAGCTCCTCTTGCTGATGACGAAAAGCAAGATGCGCTTTATAACGCTATAATGAACCAATTGCCAGAAGTCCAATACGTTGAATTTATCACGAAAAACCAAACTGGTAAAGGTCTAACTTACGATCTTCTAAAATCCTTTATTATGCAAGCAGAAGCTAATCGTCTACAATCAGCAACAGGAAATCACCCTGGATCTAAACACATCCCAATTGCATCCGCTTCCTTCACTAATTCGAATAAGAGGTCAAATGAAATTTGTTTTGAGTGTGCAGACAGTGGGCATATGAAGAACGAATGTCCGCGTAAAGGTCAAGGACTAAGAAAATGTTATGAATGTGAACAATTTACGACTCATATTGCCGCCGAATGTCCACAAAGAATAGATAAAGAGAGGAAAGGTTATAATAAAAACAGTAGAGAAAAGCATTACAAAAATAATAATAATTACGAAAATCGATTTCACGCGAGCAATAAACGATCATTTAATACTAAAGACTCTCGAAATAAATCAAGCTTCAATTCGAAACCATCTCGTGATGGAAAACCGAAACAATTTAAGAGAAACGACAATAATCCGCAAAGAGAAAATAAGTCACGACAAAATCGGTCTCGTGCAGGAAATAACGAAAGTTCGAAGGTTCGTCAGACTGAGAAAGGTAAGTACAAAAATTCTGTTTCTAGTAAGATAAAATCAAATCCTGAAATTCAAAATCGGAAACACTTGTCGGCATGTTTTTTACAAAATTCGAAACTTAAAGATGTTAATATTAACGAATATAATAAAAACTACGTATCTTTTATTGTCGATTCAGGAGTAACTGAACACTTGACGAATTCTAAAGACGTTTTCAGTTCTCTTGAAGAGACAAAATCAAGTATAATTAAGTGTGCAAACAAAAATAACGAAGCTGATTTGGTTGCTGAGGGTCGAGGCACAATAAATGTTGTTTCAAACTCAGACAACAAGAAATCGCTGGTATTAAACAACACTATTTATACAGATTTTCTCTCTGAAAATTTACTTTCGCTAAGAAAATTCGCCGATGCTGGTCTGTCAACACATCTGGATAACGAGTGTATTAAAATTTATGATCCAAAAACGAAAGAAGTGTTTGCTTCAGGAAATTATAACAAACCTTATTGGACTATGGAATTTCAGGTAGATAAGAAAAATGAAAGTAAACGAGTAGAACCTTCAAAGGTATTTCTTTTTGATACAAGTGTAGTTGATCAAAGCAAAACAAAAATTGATGATAAGAGTACGACTGAACTAAATGAAACGATGGTTAATAACGATAATAAAAACGATTTATTTTTAATTGACGAAAGTAACAAAACGAATAATGAGACAGACGACAAATTAGAGTCTTTTAAATTAAATTTAAATTCCCCTGTCGATAATGAGTGTAAAAAGACTGAAAAAGAAACTGTTACGAGTGATCGCTATGTTTTTACAGATTTCGATACACATTTGACAAGCAGAAAAATAACAAATTTGGATGAACTTCCATCCATAGACTTGTTAGAAGACGATTTTATTTCTAATAAAACATTTACCGATTCTGTAAAAGCAAATAAAGCTATGCTTTGGCACGTAAGAATGGGCCATGCATCTGTCGATTATTTGCGTAAACTGCAAAGCTTGTGGAAAGAAAATAAAGATATACAAGGTGTAGTTTTTGACGAAAGTATCAGAGAATGCGAAATTTGTGCACTAACAAAATTAGCAAAATTACCGTTTCGAACTCAACGAAGCAGAGCAGTAAGACCGCTGCAAATAATACACTCTGATGTCATGGGTAAGATTTCTCCATCTACCCACCCTTTTGGCTATCAGTACATTTCTGTATTTATAGACGATTATTCAAGAATGGCTCTAGCGTATCCTATGAAAACAAAGGATGCTACAGGTCATTGCTTAGAACGTTTCATTATGTCTGCGCGAAACTTGTTAGGAACAAATGAGAAAATTTGCTACTTACGTACGGATCAAGGTACTGAGTATATGGGAGGCTATACCCAAGAGGTATTAATTCGCGAAGGAATTGAAAATCAACCTGCCTGTCCAGATACTCCTCAACACAACGGAACTTCTGAAAGGTTTAATCAAACAATTCAAAAGAAAATAATATCCATTATGTTCGATTCTAAACTTCCTCAAACGATGTGGGATCTAGCTCTAGGAGCAGCTGTATATGTTTATAATCGGACTCCTCATCGGTCAAACGATTTCCAGGCACCTCTTGAGATTTTTGCACCAAACTTACGATATGATATAAATCAGATTAAACGATTTGGGTGTTTGGCGTATTGGACGATTCAAAGAAAACCAGACTCGAAATTTTCTGCAAGGGCAATAAGAGGAGTATTGGTTGGATACACCAGCTCTGGATACATTTTTCTAAATCCTGAATCAGGTAAGTTTTTCGAATCGAGAAACGTAAGATTCAATGAAAAAATGGTCTATGGCGACAAATATGGAAAAGATTCCATTTGAGGCTGGCCTGATACAGAAACTCCACCCCCAAAAAACGAGTGGTTTTTAAAATTCGAAGAAGATGAGGTAGCAAAACGAACAAACGATTGTGAGTTTTCAGCTTCGGAGGGTTCTCCCTCCGAAACGAAAACGTGGAAGACCACGGAAGCGACATTTGGAAACGGAGGGAGAAAATATAAGGGAGACAAATAAACGACAGAAAACTGAACCACAAACTGTTAGAGAACCATACAACACTCGAAGCCGTAAAGTCGTTGATACGAGTTTTGTAAATTTCTTAAATGTCACTCCTGTTTCAGAATTTTACGAGTTTCCTTCTTTAGAAGAAGAATTTCTGAGCATGAAAGACAATGCAAGTGACGAAACTTTGTTCTACTTACATGCAAAAATAAACAATGATCCTCTAACGTTTAAACAAGCTTTAGAGTCGAAACACAAAAACGAATGGCTTCAAGCAATAGACGAAGAGTTAAATTCTTTGAACAAGAATGATGTTTGGACTCTGATAGATCGACCTAAACTTGGCAAAAATGGCAAGAAACCCAATATAATTGATTCAAAGTGGGTATTTAAACAAAAAGAGGACGGCAGCAGTGTCACCAAATTCAAAGCAAGATTAGTCATACGAGGGTTCAAGGATACAAATTTGTATGACTTAAAAGAAACGTATGCTCCCGTTTCCAGACTAACTCTTGTTCGATCTGTATTAGCAATGATTAACTTCTACGATTTGGAAGTTTGACAGCTCGATGTAAAGACTGATTTCCTTAACGGAATAATTGAAGACGAAGTTTACATGGAAATTCCTGAAGGAATGGAAGTGTCAGACAAAACACGACGGACAAAAGTGTGTAAGATTCTCAGAGCTCTTTATGGACTGAGGATTAGTCCTAAGCGATGGAATGAAAAATTCACCGAAGTCGCGAATTCTATGGGACTGACAAATGATCAATATGATCCTTGTCTGTTCACATACAATTTTGGTGAAACAAAGGTTGTCATGCTAATTTATGTCGATGACATATTATTGGCAAGCAACAATAAAAAATTGCTGAATAAGATGAAAGTTAAATTGATGAAAGCCTTTGAAATGACTGATCTGGGAGAACCAAAATGTTTCTTAGGTATGAATATACAAAGAAACAGAGAAACAAGAGTGATGATGATTAATCAGGAAAAATTCATTGACAAAATTCTGATTAAATTTGGCTTTGAAAACGAATTTCCACAAAACACTCCCATGATCACACGTCAAGTGGCAAATCACGAAAGACGAAAACGAGAAAACGATAATGAAGACATTGACGAAATCACATTAAATATTCCATACAGAGAGGCTGTTGGTAGTTTATTGTATTTAGCTGGTGCTACTCGTCCAGACATTGCTTTTGCTGTGAACGTACTCAGTAGACATCAAATCGACCCAACAGAAAACGAATGGAATATGGTCAAACGAGTATTTAAATACTTAAAAGGAACGAAAACTCTCGGATTAAATTATCTCGGGAAACAAAATGGTCTGTTAGCGTATTCGGATGCCAGTTTCGCTGACTGCAAATCGTCTGTTTCCACTTGTGGTTATATTATAAAACTTTATGGAGACACAATTTCGTGGCGAGTAACAAAGCAAAAATATGTTGCTTTATCTACTTGCCAGGCCGAATACGTAGCAATGAGTCAGACTTGTCAGGAACTTATTGCAATCAATAAGTCTCTTATACGATTGAATAACGAAAGTTTACTTCCAGCTACTTTACGATGTGACAACAAAGCAGCAGCGATCTGTGCTCAAACAAGTGGAGGTAACAGATTAAGGCATATGACAGAAGTTCATATGGATTATGTCCAAGAATGTGTCAAATATAATCGAGTGATTATTGAGTGGGTTCCTTCCAAAAAGCAAATAGCTGATATTATGACGAAACCTCTGAGTTATGAATTGCACACTATCCTAAGAGACAAGATGTTGAATAACGATGATTCTTGATTTCTTTTTAAAAGAAAGACGACTGTTTTCAAATTAATTACAAGAATGATTTTATAATTTTAAGTTTGTATGAATTTATGAATTAAATTGTTTTTCTTCTGATTCTAGGAAACCAATAACTGGAAGTCTGTTCGGATTAACACGAATTAATTTAAATTTCTTTAACCATTTTATGTCATCTATAAAGCTTTGTTAATTAAAATACTTATTCACTTTTCATTAATACTACGAGTTTGTTTATTTTACTACAAATGTACTATTTTGTCACGATTCGAAAATTACAATTAAGTTCCATGTGATATTAAAAATTGTAATAGAGTCAATCTCGGGAGGGAGTATAGAGTTTAAGTTTAAATCTGGCGCCTGCATCTTTGCTCGCTTGACTCCAGTATTATGTTTGTTTCCGGTGTCTTGTCAATGTCCGTTTTTCTTTAGCGCACTTCCTCCCCGTTTTATAACGAAAGGCGTCTTAGCGACGAACGAGTGTGTTCTTACGAATATTAAATAAACCTTAATTATCTACTTTAAATAAAAGCCGTGTTCTTATTTAATGCTCCCACAATAACTAAAAGTCAATAGTACAATTTATAAAATATAAGCATTAAAATAATTTAAACAAAGCTAACGTTAAATACGTTAAACGTTTAATATGGCTAATTTAATTATAAACATATTTTAGAAACTATTTATACACTTATTATATCGAAAACACAGTTTTATCTAACAATATAAAATTTAGTATATTGTATATAATAACTATACATATATAATTATGTATCATACCTTCCAATTTGCTTTTTAATATTATAATTTTCTTTCCTTGAAGAATTTATAATATCGACCAACTTCATTTTTCTCGGTGAACATTCACCTTCAGCCGAAAGTCCTAACACCATATTTATTTTTCTTTTCCTTTGCATCAAATTGTTATTTTTTAGTGTAAATAAAAGCGTTTCATTCACAGTTTCCGATTCCTGAAATAAAGAATTCTGTTATATTTTTCGTATATGCAATAACAAAATTTTTATTCATATATGCTACTAAAAAAATAATTATATTATAATATTTTTCAAAAAGACGTGTTTTGCATATTTTAAGAAAAAGTTGAAAAATACAATATGCAAAAATTAATTTAAAAGATTTTTTAATAATAATTGATTTTTACAATCTAATTACATGAAAAAATATATAATTTTATTACATTATATTTGGACATAAATAATAATTTTGAATTTGCAAAAGATATTTTAATAAAATAAATTTATTTGACCTTTAGTAGTTTGCAGTATAAATTAATGTTTCTTTTTCATAAGTATTTATTGAACTTCTATATATATTGATATATACATATATATATTGATTAACCGAAATCCTCTTCCAGTTTTGTAGAAACATTGTTCTTCAAAATGTTTATGACAAATAAAAACATTTTTGGAGACGATTTCTTCGTAATCCAAAGGATTTAATATTTGACTTTGTCATACATGAATCCACTTTTTACCAATTATTTTATTTTTTGGAAAATAATGTGCAGACACTTTATTTTTTCCATTATTTCGCCCTTCACATCCACGCACTTTGCACGAATGCACACTTAAATATTGCATCTTTTTAGAAATTCAAATAAAATAAAATTTGTTTATAATAATTTAAACAAACTGATAAGCAGTCAACTGCTTCTAACAGCCGATGACAGTTTTAGAGTAATTTCAAATATGAAAACATTGACATGCGCGCCTCTACAGTCTCAACAGGGTGAACTAAAATCATTCACCCTAATCTATAGGCGAGTCGACCAAGCCTGGGCTCTCTGTTAGGATTTTAGCATCAAAGAATTTATGGAAAAAGTATATGAAAAGTTTCGAGCATTAATCCTAACAGATTTCTCTCCGTGTAAAGAAGACGAGAAAAAATGGTCTTGAGAGCTCATTGGTACTTTAAGAAATTCTTTTTTCTGCTTCATTCGTTTTTTTCTCCGTGAATATTTTTTTCCGTGGCGCATGCCCTTCAAGCTAAACATTTTACAAAACTCTTGAATAAGAACGTCCAACCGATCATTTGTGAATTCCACAGAAGTTTTTTTGAGTTTTCGAGAAACGCAGTCATCATATATTACTATTAATATATACTAAACTCCTCTCCGTATCCGCTATTCCAAAATTACTTTCGTAAAATGTACTAAATTAATTTTTTCCGTGTATTGTCGATTTTGCGTATTTTCAAAATTTAGGGGGGGGGGTGGTTTTAAAAATTTAAAACCTGTTGTTTTTTTATCTTCAAGGTGCCCTGAACAATTCTTATCTGAATAACTTCCAAGAAGAACCAGAGATACAACATTTCTAAATTGAAGACAAATAATTTCTTATAACAACTTCTATTAATTATTTATAATTTTTGACTCAACGTAATAGTACGTGACAGTTCCATAGAGATGGCAGCATTAATATTGTTTCGAAATGAAAGATGCTTAAAAAAGTTTTTTTTTCATTAATTTTGAAGGCGAATTTAGAAAAACCATTAGATTTTTCATAAAAAATGAGTGTGATTACATTTTTGACAAATATTTTACATTTCAAACGAATCTGTTGAATTTTGGAAAAAATATCCATTCTCATTATCACTTGTAATAACTGCACAACAGGTACATTTTTTATAATAAAACACTTTATTAAAGTAAAGTATACACTAAATGTGGACAACCAAGGCAGTTTTTTAAAGCTTAATCTTCATAGAATTAGTATTGAAAAATTTGCTTTGTTTTGTATAAAGGTCTATTAATTATTGTGACAAAGTGATTTGTCACTGGCGATTATAAATTGTGATTTTATTGTAGCGCCCTATATAGTTTCGCCCCTGCGATAAAAATGGACGTTTCCGTTCGATATTTGAATTATTCATTATTATTATTTGGAAAAATTGTTTAATTTTGAATTCTTTCTTACGAAAATTTATTTTGTTTATAGTAATTAATATCTAGTTTAAAGATTATTTTATATGCTAACGAGTATTATTAATTGTTTCTAATTTTGGTTTGTGTGTTGATTTTTCATTTCCGTTTTGAGTCAACATGTGCTTGCTGTATGAAAAAGGCCGAGAGAGTGCGTATAACGCCGTGTTAGAGAGCAGACGTATATTGAGAGAGTATAGAGAGTAACGAACGGCGTGTATTTCGATAGTAAAATTTTGAGAAATTCATTATTACGAACAATTCGCGTCTGTCGTTGACTTTTGTATATTGAGTAAAGAGAGAGTTTGTGTAGTGTTAAGAAGACTATTTTGTGTGGCGATTAGCCTTTAAATTTGGGATATTTTTTTTGGATTATTATTTGATTGAGAGAAAGGACAGTGAGTGACGCCTTTCCAAAATCTCACAAGTTTGTCATCGAAATTAAGTGTGAGTTTAACGAGGAGAACCAGCGTACCATTTCAATAAATTGTGTTTGGATTAACCAGCGTTCAATTTATTAACCTATTCCTTTCAACATCGGTGAGTCCATTTATAGAAGTATTATTTAAAATTTGTGTTTCACGCCATGTGCTTTCAGTGGCGTTCTCAATACAATCTCACCCGAATTATTAGAGTCTCATTATTATTTTAGTTGTCTAATTTTTATTTAAGTAATAAATTATTTTGTTATTTTCGTAATTTGGTAAATAAGTAAAATAACTGGCGCTCAACTGAGAATTTATTTAGAGTAAATTTATTTGTGAGAGACATAAGAAAATTAATTGTTGATTAGACTGAAAGTCCAGTCAACGAAGAGTGTGAAAAAGAGAGAAATGAAAAAGAAGAAGAGTAAAAAGAAGAACAAAGAAAAAAGTGAATGCACTTAAAACACAAGCACCAACTGCGCCAAGTGTTTTAAATCCACCTCAGCCTTCAGCACCAGCGTTCGCTCCTGTTATGATGGGAACGAATCAGACACCACCTCAACAGCAGAATCAGCCAACGTTGAGAAACGGTCAGAACATTGGAGCAAATCCAAAGGGTTTTGTGGGAGCTTGCTTCCATTGTCAAGGTGTTGGCCACAAGGCTTCTGAGTGTCGGTTTCGTGTTTGTCATTTTTGCAAAGAACAAGGACACTATGCAAATCAGTGTCCTTTGAAGCAAAAATGTCAAGTTTGTGGTACACCGGGAGTCGTGTTCGCGAATTGTCCTAATTGTATTCAATTAAGACAATATCAGATTGCTTTGGGAAACGAGCGTGCGGGGGGACAGAACTGTCCTGCTCCCCCACCACTACACCGGGGCAACCAGCATGGACACCACGACCAGCGTAAAAGTGGAGAAATTTGTGAATGCACATGTACCAGCGTGTAGAAGTCAGAGTAAAGGGGATTCACTCTCAGTGCAAGTAGGAGAGAAAGGTGTCATGACAACCAGCGTACAGAGTGGAGTGGATCCACTTTCAGTCTCGAGCGAAGGTGTTTCGAAGAGAGAAACATTTATGAGTAAGGCGAGCTCACTCCCAGAAAAAGAGAAAGGAGTAGAGGAGAAGGAAAAATTGAGTGAGACGAACTTACTCACAAGCATGAGTAGAAGAGGAGAGGTGTTAGCCAGCGTACCGAATGGAGGGGATCTATTTAACCAATTTTTGTCAAGAGAAAGTAAGAAGGTTAGAAATTTAGAAAATAAATTGAGTTTAGAGAAAAAAGCGTTTCTCAATTATGGTCGCCATCCAAAACTAGTCAAGAGTCTTCGGCGAGTTGTAGAATATCTAACTTCAGTTGTGAGAATTGATCCAGCGTTTTGGACTGATCGTATGAAACGATTAGATGGACTTCGAGATATGGATGCAAGAGTTGTCAATCAAGAGAGGACCAAACAAGCAGCGTATGACAATCGAGGAAGGAAAAATGTCACATTTAATATTGGAGACTTGGTGCTTTGGAGGACTCACAAATTGTCCAGCGGTATTCGTAAATTTGCAACGAAACTGGCTCCAAAATTCGAAGGTCCTTTCAAAATTGTTCAAATATTATCTCCTACCGTCTATGTGTTAGGCACGAATGATAATAGGCGAATTCCCAAGGTGCACGTCTCAGAACTAAAACGTTACATTCCACCCCGAAATGTTAACAAGGGTTAATTCTACATTATCGAGTATTTTATATTTTTTTGTCATAATTGATTTTCTTTTTGGGTGACATTGATTTATTTTTATTTTTCCAGCGTTACTAGCATTAAATTGAATCATAAAATGTTGAATTTTTTTGGAAATTTCTTGTTTCCAGCGTTTGGGATTTTTGTTTGTTTGGGTGGGTTTGTTTCAGAGAAGGAATCAGAACCAGACACTTCACCAAAGGACTCAGGAGTTTTACGGGATTTCATGTCGATTTCATTTTTGGAAGTTGCTATGGTTTCTTTCAACTACTCGGTACTACCGGCAGCGTCATTGTCGTTGGCCGCAGGATGTCAATTTTCTGGGACCAGAGACGTTGTTAACCGTTTTGTGGAGGAACCAGAGCATTGGTCCAAGCACCACGTGGATTGCCGGACGAGGCAATAATGTTAGCGATGCGTGAATTTTTCGAGGAGAGACGTCGCACAAATCATTGACTGTGGTCACATTATTTAAAGAATATTAGGCAGAGAAATATTTACTTTTGGCCTCTAAAAACCAATGTACCTATTTTTTTACTTGTAAAGCTTGCATATAATTTCTAAACATATTGCAGTAAGTTCGTACATAAAAACTAAACATTTTTCTCTTTGGAAATCCATATCTATAACTAACTGTTTCTAAGATATTCCATTTGTAACAACTGCACAGCGTAACAACCGCACCTAGTCTCCCCTACTGTAGAACCGTAGGACCGACATAACCTACCACGTAATTTTTAGGACAATGTGACTTTTAAATTATACCAATATTAAGGAATGAACATTTAAAAAATCAGCTGGTTAGTAATCATTTTTAATGACCTCGTTATCAATACATGTTGGAAACGGGGACTCTTTCATCAAACTATAACATTTGTAGGACAACACATTTTTTTAATAATTCTCCTAATTTGCCTAAGTTTGAATAAAAAACTGACAGTTAGTAATAAAATTTTTAGACTTATCAAATCGACATATTTTATTCCTCCTACCCCTGTAAGCTACCACAATGGAGAGTTTTTGTAAAGAAAAAAGTTGGGCGTCTCATAAAAATAAAGCTACTCACAAAAAATAAGCTTGTTAGTAATCAATGGGAAAAATGTACGCGGGATCCTGGACTATGGCTATACAAGTGTCTCTTTACAAATTTCTCTCTTACAATATTTTTATATTTATTTCTTATACTAAATTTTTGCGTGTACAGAACGACTTGAAAATTAGGAGTACTCGCATTTGCCTGGACCACCCGTCTAATGGGTTTTCTCGCCAGTGGAGAGAGAAACTGCAGAAGACCTCTCCTGAGTACAACCGGTTTATCGACAGTCGAGTTCTAATGGTGTGTACCGGACAATAATCGACGCAGGCGCGGATCCACGGTGGGGCAAAAGGGGCGATCGCCCCCCCCCCAAACACACTTACTTACAGTGTAATGTTAGGTATTAATATATCTTACCTTTATTAGTATAAGGTTTTAAGTTACGAATCGCCCCCCCCAAAAAAAAAATTTGCTTCTGGGTCCGCGCCTGATCGACGGTGGACATCATTGTACCTCGACGTCAAACTTCCCGCTCGGATTATCTCACGTGCCGGAAAAATACCAAGCCAAATGGGCGCGAACCAAGGGTACTTACCCTTGGTCCTAAAACGTCCGCCAAGCGAGGCATCTATCCGACTGAGCTAATCTGTCGGTTACACTCGGTAGATATTCACATGTATTCTATGGGTATTCCCATGTTTTCCAGCATATATTCAATATTCTTAGTATTCCCTGATATTCTTTAATATTCTCAGTATTCACTTATATTCTTTAATATTCCCTATATATTCCCATATATTCCTAACTAATCTCCAATATTTTGACATATTCTATAATATTAAAGAGCAGTAACAACAGTTTCAAGAAAACTGTAACATATTTTGCATTTGTCATTTTAAATTTATAGGCGTAAAGGCTCCGGAAATTCAAAATTTTCTGCTGTTTCGATCCTCGAGTTAACAAACAGAGTCAATTGTTGTAGGAGAAGATGCAATACATGAGGACGATTGGTGTGCGTTTTCATCAACAAATAAAGCCTTTTTTATTTGTTAACGCAGGGAGACTACATGTCAGCTAAATGACTACTAAATGACAGGAAAACAAATTTTTAGTCATGGAAATTAAGAAAAATGATATTCTTTACGAATTACTTTTAAAAACTTAAAAACTTTTCTTCCAAATATTTCAACAAAATACCATATTTTTTAGTATAAAATGTATCTCATTTCGATTCTTATAGTGCGAAAAATAACTATAAACAAATATTTCAAAAATTATTTTTGAATCATTTTTCTATTCAATGATACGACAAAATGACAATAAACTTTTTGGTATTATCAGTTATACACAGGTTATAATATCTTAGTATCTCAACGTGCGTACCTTTCCCTTATTTTTCATCCTCTTTCAGAATCTGCAAGAAATTTTAACTTTTGACTAAAGGATTAAAAGTTATGATTATTTAATCAAATAGAAACACAACATGTTTTATAGTTTTTGTTTCATTAAAACTATATTTTCGATTGGAAATCATTCAGAAAAAATTTGGACTGACAAGATATTGCGACCAAAATGTATTTCTTTCACTTAGGCATTGATAGAAATTTAAATTTTTCGAAATTCATAATGGCGGCTCAAAAATGTCCGAAAAAATATCTAAAATTTTGAATAGCCAGAAAAATAAATTCTAGTCACATTTTCTCATCACAAATAACTAAAATTAGTATACGAATAACATTTGTCATGAATTTTTATCACTATGACTAATTTAACAGTATTTTAAACAATTTTTATAAACAAATTGTTTTTTTTTAAGTCACAAATATTGAAAAAAATTTGTTTATTTACATATCGCTTTTATTATGATAGTTGCAATTAATGTTGAGGATAAAAATTGTTTAACATTATTATTTAATAATGTTATAAACAATTTTATAAATAAATGAAGAATTGACAATAATTGAAGCTAAAAAATAGTGTCTTCTTCCACCGACTTTTTTACCGGTCTCTTAATGAATCTTTGAGATGAAAATTATTGACTACAGTTATTTAACAACTGTATAAGCAATTGTTATAAATAAATTTCAAATTAACAACAAGTAAACATGTAAAAATTTCGATTTCCTTTTGCAAATTTTTTTCTATAGAATTAATGAATCTTGAAACTTTAATTTACCTACTAATATTTTTCAATAAAGTTATAAACAATTGTTGTAAACAAATTACATTTTAACAACAATCGAAGTTTTTTCTTTTAATATCCTTTTTTCTATAGGGTTCATATATCTTGAAAATGAAATTTAATTCTTAATATTTTTAACAAAGTTATAAACAATTGTTGTAAACAAATTACATTTTAACAACAATTGAATATAAAAAAACCGTTTTTTCTTTTAATATCCTTTTATGTGGTCAATAATTTGCATCTCAAAGATTCATTAAGAGGCGGCAGTAAAAAAGTCGTTGGAAAAAGACACTATTTTTCAGCTTCAATTATTGTCAATTCTTCATTTGTTTATAACATTGTTAAAGAATAATGTTAAACAATTTTTATCCTTAACATTAATTGCAACTATTAAAATAAAAGCGATATGTAAATAAACAATTTTTTTTAATATTTATGACTAAAAAAACAATTTGTTTATAAAAATTGTTTAAAATATTGTTAAATTAGTCATAGTGATAAAAATTTATGAAAGATGTTATTTGTATACTAATTTTAGTCATTTGTGATGAGAAAATTTGTCTAGAAATTAATTTTCTGGATATTCAAAATTCTAGATATTTTTTCGGACATTTTTGAGCCACCATTTTGAATTTCGAAAAAATTAAAATTTCTATTAATGCCTAAGTGAAAGGTCATACATTTTCGAAGCGATGTCTTTTCAGTCTAAATTTTTCCTGAAGCGATTTGTAATCGAAAATATAGTTTTAATGAAACAGAAAACAAAAAATGTTGTGTTTCTATTTGTTTAAACAATCATAAATTTTAATCTTTAAGTCAAAAGTTAAATTTTCTTTCAGATTCTGAAAGATGACGAAAAAATATATGAGAAACACGATGTGCAAATTTTTTTAGCCCACCATCTTTGAAAATGGTAAGTGCAAAGAGAAAAAACGGACTTTTGGGACTAAATGAGTTAAGGGTGTTTTTAGAAATACAAAAGGGTAGAATAATGTA